GGAGTCAGTGTGCTAAAATTTCTTCATTTTCCTTGTTAAGAATCAGAGGTGCTAGTTTCAAATCCTTTTTAGTCTGAAATCTGTATGCTAGATATTGAATAAGGTGGTTTTATTGTTTTTTGTCACTTTGAATAATATTTCTGTTCATGTTAAAAACAAAATCAACTCTCTGTATAAATATATCAGGTGACCGTTAAGGCCCATGGGCCTCTTGTTCACAATATTTCCACATGTGCTGAGTGCGAAAATAGACTACATTGTACATGAAAAGCTAGCTTTTGTTGTGTAGACACAGATTTGTAAATGGCCAAAAATGTAGTCTCGAACCAAATTCGTTTTTTTTTTTAATGTGAAGCCCACATATAGTCCACTTCATCATTTATATGCCAATTGTAGTGCTGATTTTGTTTTTAAACTTTGATACATGTAATATTACATGGGTTATTCATTGTACAAAAATATTACCCATGGCCATCGTACGCTACTGTACACTAGGTACAGTAGGTGATCAAGTGAAATACAGGCAAAAAATTATCTTATTGTAAATTGTTAGCCTCTTTATCAAAAGGAACAATATAATTTGTTAAAACAAGTGGCAATAATGACATTTGTGTTGACCAGGTTTACAAGTCGACGGGTGATGTGGAGGCAGGAAAGGCCCTGTACGAAAAATACTCCGAAGTACATGACCGAGAGGAGCCCCACTTCCTAACTCGTCGCGCCACAGTCCTTGCCAGGAAACAACCACGAAAAATGTTTGTCCAGCATAACACTGTAGTCAATGGTGAGACTTTTGTTCCCAAAAACACTGTAGTTATCGGTAACACTATTTGTTCCCAAAAACACTGTAGTTAAGTGTAATACTATTTGTTCCCAAAAACACCGTAGTTAATTGTAACACTATTTGTTCCCAAAAACACTGTAGTCAATGGTAACACTATTTGTTCCCAAAAACACTAGTTATCGGTAACACTAATTGTTCCCAAAAACACTGTAGTTATTGGTAACACTTTGTTCCCAAAAATACTGTAGTCAATGGTAACACTATTTGTTCCCAAAAACACCGTAGTTAAGTGTAATACTATTTGTTCCCAAAAACACTGTAGTCAATGGTAACACTAATTGTTCCCAAAAACACTGTAGTTATTGGTAACACTATTTGTTCCCAAAAATACTGTAGTCAATGGTAACACTTTTTGTTCCCCATAACAAAGTTATCAGCTTTTGAACTAGTATGTGTTGTTTCATCCTTGATTTCCAGAGGTGATCGTAACAACTGGAAATTGAGGATGGTGTTGTTTGTAAATTGGTAATAGATTTTCAAGCTTCACCTTTATTTCTGTTAATATAGGCAGTACAGTAGATCTGAAGAATTATGAATCCACTACTGCTGGCCTCATCCAATCGTTTGCTGAACGTTTCCCGTCCACCGACATTGACGACATTGTACAGGGCTTGTGGGAACAAGAGAAACCACACTTCTGAGGGAGGAATACAAATCCATACTTATGTAGTGCTAAGGAGACCACAGCTCTCCTGTATAGACAGACCCAGGGAATCTTACTGATGTGCCACGTATAAAGGACTATTCTTCAAATGATGATGTGGTTTTGTTTTTGCAAACATTCTTTAATACATTTGAAATAACTTTCCAAGTGTCTGTATTATTTCTGGACGTTCATACTTTTGCTTCTGTAAAGAGGGATACAGAAATCTGATTTTCGTCGTTTGTCAAACTGACATAAGCAGATTAATTTTGACCAGAGAATTTAATGTTTCATATTTATTACAAATGAGCTTGTCCCTCGGTTTGTGTTTTTTTATGAATTATTTTTTCGTATATATATTTTATTTTCTTAATACATTTGTACTTTATATTTCTATTGAGAGAGTTTTTTATCCACAGTGACATTTTCTTACTGACTGATTGAGAATCACTGAATCTTTTGTTCAAATATGAATTCCAGCAATATTTGTTACAAGTCATAATAATCTGATGCATGAAAGCTACATTTTTTTGTTATTGTAAAAAAATCTTTTATAAATTAGGAAGATAGAATTTGAGATAATTCTAATTATTTAATTCCACTTTGCGTGAATGAATGTATGAATGAATTTCACCAAATATGAGTTCTAGTGTCCAGTATGTTGACAATTGAGATATGATTTTCTTCATAAAGCTGCATCACTTTGCTATTGAAAACAGTCCTATCACTCCAAGGAGAATGTGACAATCATTATATACGGTACCAGCTATTCACTTTCCTTTTGTGTGAATGAACGGATGTTATCACAATATAGCTACTTGTTACAGTAGTATAATTACCTGTCTGTAACCATGAGCTAAAATGGTCTTATCAGAGAGGTGGTCTCTATAGACAGGTGGTTTTAGACTTATTTTACTGGACTTGCTGACGTGTTCAGTGTAGCTACGTGATAAATGATGTAAGCTCAGTGTGAACTGTATAAAACAATGTAGCTACGTGATAAATGATGTAAGCTCAGTGTCAACTGTATAAAACAATGTAGCTATGTGATGAAAGGTGACAGCATCAACCTTGTAAGCAATTAGCTGTTTGATGAGTTGCAGTATGACAATGAGTCGGTGTTGTTTGTCTAACTTGAATTAGTTAATTTCAAATTTTAATCAGAAAATCATCTTCAGTGACTAAGATGCCGGTGACATTAAGCTTTACAAAAATACACATGAAGCAAAGTTGGTAATCAGTTCTTCAAGGTCGTATAAAAACAAATGTTGGATGAAGAGATATTTGGTGTGGTCATAGAGTGCTAGTGACTTTGGGGTCCCAGGTGACAACGTCATTATTTTTTACACTACTTTTCTTGAACAGGGTAGTCACCAACACGAGATGGTATAACTTCATCTAATATTACAGTTAACATGGAATTATTGCTTATTTCATTAAAAAAACTAATTATATTGGCCAGACACATCTTAATTACTGTAAGACTTGATTACAAGATTACAAATGCCAAGATTTAATGAAAACCAGATTTTGAGATACAATTCAAGTTACAAAATACATAATCAGATTGTTAGTAAGTACTTATGTCCTTTTTTATTTTATTTCTTATTTTTTTGAGTAAAATGTTACTAATGTTGAAGCATAATACTTTTGAATAGTCGATACACCAGTATATAATAACAAAACATAGGTTTTAGTAATACAGGTGTAGATTTCTGAGTTGTAATAATGATTTAGATAATTTTTACTGGTTTCCATGATGAAATAAATTCAGTGGAATGTTAAACTGTGTATAGTGTTGTGTTTGGAAAATTGTTGGACCAAATGCAGCTATTATATGTATTACAAGATAACCTAACTAGCTTTCCTTCAAGCATATCATCTAGTTTATCAGATTAGTATTTCATTTATTGAATGAATTCTACAGTTCGACTTTCAAGGTCACAGGGGTCTAATGTGTTTAATCTTTTAACAGGTTCCTTTCATAGATACTGATATTCTGCCTGTACATAGCTTTATTTTAGTCCACTTTTATGATTACAAGTGTGAGATTTATACCAGGTGAGTGATGCCCATTGGGTATCTTGGTTGCGGTGATGTTTTGTAACTTTGATGTAAATCAATGTTGTGATGCTTATACTCAATGTATTTCAGTGAGAAATTCCACCTAAACACGGGCTTCAATTACCTTAGCTGTTGATAGGACTTTAAACCCTACCAACCAACCACTTAAAAGTGGCCCTTAATCGATAAGACCAAACATATAAATGTATGCCCTAAATTCAGTTTGCATTATCTCCCTTTAAACAGTCAAAGCGCGCTCGTATCCTGGCGAACTGGCGTGCAAATAGAAATTGTTTCTTGTCGTTAAAGAAATTCCTAGAGTCTCTCGACTTAAGGAAAAATCACTAAATTGAGATCAATTTTAGTTTGTTCTATCATATTTGTGTGTCGAATAGATCGGTTACATGAACACATTTGCATAAAACTACGGAATCTAATTCTGTTATAAACAAATCTGCATAGCCAAACGAGACCCCGACCCCAGTCTGAAATAACCAACCTAGACCCGACCCTACTCCAACAATGTTAGAGGTTTTACACTGCGAAAAACATTTGACAGGCGCTGCGTCGGCAAAATCATATCCGATTGAAAAAAGGCCGACCAGCGGCCTTTCATGTTATGGGAGTAGACCCGACCCCAGTCTGAAATGACCAACCAAGACCCGACACCAGTCCGGAACAACAAATCTTTGTTAGACCCGACCCTAATCTGAAATGACCAATCTAAATCCGATCCTAGTCTGAAATTACCAACCTAAACCACCAGACCCTTGTCTGAAATAACCAACTTAGGCCCGACTCCAGTCTAAACAACCAACCAATGTTAGACCCGACCCCTGTCTGAAATAACCAACCTAGACCCGACCCTAATTTGAATGTACCAACCTAGACCCGACCCCAGTCTAGCTGGAAGCTAAATTTATCAATTACCATAAAAAATGAATTTCGGACTTTCACGTCTCGGACTTGAGCCTTGCTAACATCATGCAATTCCCGGACCTTAAACATGACAATCCGGAATCAGGTCAGTAATCTCCGAGCCTATAAGTAATTCAGTTCAAAAGATGACGCTCGTTTACAATAGGCAAAACGTGCTTTCTTTGGTATTTCAAACTATCAATTGCCGGCATCAATGTTTTCAGTGTACAGTGGCGGATCCAGAGACCTATCTGGGGGGGGGGGGGGGGGGGTACCATGTGGGGGAAAATTGAGGAAAATGGTGAAAATACATGATTTTTAAAGAAAATTCTCAGGGTGGGGGGGTTTCCTGAAGCCCAAAAAACCCCTCTGGATCCGCCACTGGTGTATGCTAGAAAAGACGTACTGGGACGGAAGTCTGTGTGCACTTTCTGTAGATTGTGTGTTTACATTGTCAGCTTGAATATTGGAAGGCAGAGTAAACATGTTAAAACGGTTAAAATGTTCAGTTATAACAGCCCTGACATATTTGTGTTCTCTCACAAACCCTTTGGTAAGTAGAAAAAGGTCGGATCTCTTTAGGAATGTGTTTTTCACGAGAAATCAAATTAGCGCCCTGTCAGACTCGGATGTGTTCTGCCTTCCGCTGGGAGGACTGGAAAAGCTCATCTTTTCCCGCCATTTCTACGTCATGTAGTAGTGACCCGCGGAACCATAATTCGGTGCCCGATTGTAGCTGCTATATATAACTATGACACAGATTTATCGATACGATGAAGGGGATCAATCTCACGGCTTCATATTAAACCTGTCATCGATTCCCAGATACACTTATAGCAACTCGCATTAACAGCAGTTTGTTCACGAGCTTCCTCGGGTTGGCACGATGCTTCCATTAAAATAGCTAAGAGGCATTTTTTAAGACAGCAAAAACCGATGGTGTGAGCTAGGGAAGAAGGGCACGTAAAACATCGTTCACTCCTAGAAGGGGCCATCTGGCAATACGGTTTTATTTTCAGAAGCCTTGATCTATTTTGATTCCAAAACTGCTCCGCGGAAGTGGTGTCCCCTTTCCAGCTTACACCTGGGAGATAAGGATTCTCGCCGACCCCGAGAACCCTACGTTCAGTACTCGCTCCCGTGTTTGTTTACACAAATGCATTTCATTTACGACTTTATTCGGGGCATGCACCGGACGTGTTGCGTATTTTTAGGGAAACAAATTAAAGTAAACACCACTGCGGGGCCGCAAGTACCTATGCTGCCGAATTGTCCCAGAACACCAACCATATTGCATTTGTAGTAAAAGTTAGGGAATTCAGACAATTTTTAGGAAAATAGGAAATGTATTTGATAGTCCAGTCTGCATTAATGATTATGATTAATCTGAGCTAGATTTTTTTAACCACGTTGACTGGACACAGGGTCCTATAAATGATTTAATTGTTGGAGAAGACACGGTGCTTAAATCAATTCTTTCAACAGTTCTGTTTTATAATTTGGTTATTTAACTCTTTGCTTAAACACAGAGAAACATTCAGTCTGCAGACTCACTGACAATCCGATAGTGTTCATGTGTTCAGTTGAGAGTGTACGACGGTCGGAGGTCTGAAGTAGGTTTACGACGTTCTGTTCGAGATTCCGTTTCACCAAATACCTTACTACGCTGACCAAGACCGACTTTTCACGAGCTGTTTTTACGGAAAGAGTGCTATATTTAGGGCCAAGTGTTTGTCCAGCACTTAGGACGAAATGATGCGGAACTCATTTTTATATGGTTGGTCATCCGATCTGGGTTCGGAATCATCCCTATCCCACTATCTCAACGCATTTGCACTGGACCGGGATGCTGGCTTTCCGCCTAAAAAAGTCATGTACCGTATAAGTCATAAGATAAAATAATGACAGCTAAATTTAAGTTCTCGAAAAATATTTAATGACTAATCAAAACAACGTTGAGCAACCAGACCAAACCCCTCTGACTCCGACCGTCGAACACCTCCTACAGACCCCCAAATGTCAAACTCCTCCAAAATACCACCGACCGTTGTACACGTCCAAGAGACCTCCGACTGTGGTACGCCTCCTACAAATCTCCGACCGTTGTACGCCTCCAACAAACCTCCGACTTTCGTACACCACCAACAGACCCGACTGTCATACACCTTCAGCAGACCCCCGACTGTCATACACCTCCGACAGACCCGACTGTCATACAACTCCAACAGACACCGACTGTCATACACTTTCAGCAGACCCCCGACTGTCATACACCTCCGACAGAACCCTAACTGTCATACACCTCCGACAGACCCCGACTGTAATACAACTCCAACAGACCCCGACTGTCATTCACCTAAACAGACCCCGCCTCCCATACACATCTCACAGACCCCCGACTTAGTACACCTCCAACAGATCTCCGACCGTCGTACACCTCCAACAGACCCCGACTGTCATACACCTTCATCAGACCCCCGACTGTCATACACCTCCGACAGACCCCGACTGTCATAAAACTCCAACAGACCCCGACTGTCATACACCTCCGACAGACCCCGGCTGTAATACACCTCCAACAGACCCCGACTCCCATACACATCTCACAGACCCCCGACCGTTGTACACCTCCAACAGATCTCCGACCGTCGTACACCTCCAGCATACCCGGATTGTCATACACCTCCAACAGACCCCGACTGTCATACAACGCCAGCAGACCCCCAACTGTCATACACCGCCAGGAGACCCCCGCCTGTCATACACCTCCGACAGGCCCCGACTGTCTTACAACTCCAACATATCCCGACTGGCATACACCTCAAACAGACCTCCAATCATTGCACACCTCTAACAGACCACGACTGTCGTACACCTCTCACAGACCCCGACTGTGGTACACTACCCACAGCCCCGCAACTGTCATACACCTCTTACAGACCGCGACTGTGGTACACTACCAACAGCCCCGCAACTGTCATACACCTCTCACAGACCCCGACTGCCGTACACTACCCACAGACTCCCGATTGTTGTACACCCCTCACAGACCCCGACTGCCGTACACCTCTCACAGACCCCCGACCGTCGTACACCTCTCATAGACCCCCGACCGTCGTGCACCTCTCACAGACCTCGACTGTCGTACACCTCTCACAGACCCCGACTGTCGTGCACCTCCCACAGACCCCGACTCTCGTACACTACCCACAGACCCCCGACTGTCGTACACCTCCAACAGACCCCCGACAATCGTACACCTCCAACAGAATCCGACTGTCGTACACTACCGATAGACCCCCGACTGTCGCACACCTCCAACAGATCGCCGACCGTCATACACCTCTAACAGACTCCCGACTGTTGGACACCTCTTACAGACCCCCGACTGTCATACACATCCAACAGAACCCGACAATCGTACACCTCCAAAAGACCCCCGACTGTCATACACCTCTAACAGACCCCCAACAGTTGAACACCTCCTAGAGACTACCATATCTACACCTCCAACAGACCCCCGACAATCGTACACCTCCAACAGACCCCCGACTGTCGTACACCTCCTAGATATCACAATATGTACCTCCATATGTACACCTCCTAGAGATCACCATATGTACACCTCCTAGATATCACCATATGTACACCTCCTAGATATCACCATATGTACACCTCCTAGAGATCACCATATGTACACCTCCTAGAGATCACCATATGTACACCTCCTAGAGATCACCATATGTACACCTCCTAGAGATCACCATATGTACACCTCCTAGAGATCACCATATGTACACCTCCTAGAGATCACCATATGTACACCTCCTAGAGATCACCATATGTACACCTCCTAGAGATCACCATATGTACACCTCCTAGAGATCACCATATGTACACCTCCTAGAGATCACCATATGTACACCTCCTAGAGATCACCATATGTACACCTCCTAGAGATCACCATATGTACACCTCCTAGAGATCACCATATGTACACCTCCTAGAGATCACCATATGTACACCTCCTAGAGATCACCATATGTACACCTCCTAGAGATCACCATATGTACACCTCCTAGAGATCACCATATGTACACCTCCTAGAGATCACCATATGTACACCTCCTAGAGATCACCATATGTACACCTCCTAGAGATCACCATATGTACACCTCCTAGAGATCACCATATGTACACCTCCTAGAGATCACCATATGTACACCTCCTAGAGATCACCATATGTACACCTCCTAGAGATCACCATATGTACACCTCCTAGAGATCACCATATGTACACCTCCTAGAGATCACCATATGTACACCTCCTAGAGATCACCATATGTACACCTCCTAGAGATCACCATATGTACACCTCCTAGAGATCACCATATGTACACCTCCTAGAGATCACCATATGTACACCTCCTAGAGATCACCATATGTACACCTCCTAGAGATCACCATATGTACACCTCCTAGAGATCACCATATGTACACCTCCTAGAGATCACCATATGTACACCTCCTAGAGATCACCATATGTACACCTCCTAGAGATCACCATATGTACACCTCCTAGAGATCACCATATGTACACCTCCTAGAGATCACCATATGTACACCTCCTAGAGATCACCATATGTACACCTCCTAGAGATCACCATATGTACACCTCCTAGAGATCACCATATGTACACCTCCTAGAGATCACCATATGTACACCTCCTAGAGATCACCATATGTACACCTCCTAGAGATCACCATATGTACACCTCCTAGAGATCACCATATGTACACCTCCTAGAGATCACCATATGTACACCTCCTAGAGATCACCATATGTACACCTCCTAGAGATCACCATATGTACACCTCCTAGAGATCACCATATGTACACCTCCTAGAGATCACCATATGTACACCTCCTAGAGATCACCATATGTACACCTCCTAGAGATCACCATATGTACACCTCCTAGAGATCACCATATGTACACCTCCTAGAGATCACCATATGTACACCTCCTAGAGATCACCATATGTACACCTCCTAGAGATCACCATATGTACACCTCCTAGAGATCACCATATGTACACCTCCTAGAGATCACCATATGTACACCTCCTAGAGATCACCATATGTACACCTCCTAGAGATCACCATATGTACACCTCCTAGAGATCACCATATGTACACCTCCTAGAGATCACCATATGTACACCTCCTAGAGATCACCATATGTACACCTCCTAGAGATCACCATATGTACACCTCCTAGAGATCACCATATGTACACCTCCTAGAGATCACCATATGTACACCTCCTAGAGATCACCATATGTACACCTCCTAGAGATCACCATATGTACACCTCCTAGAGATCACCATATGTACACCTCCTAGAGATCACCATATGTACACCTCCTAGAGATCACCATATGTACACCTCCTAGAGATCACCATATGTACACCTCCTAGAGATCACCATATGTACACATCATAGAGATCACCATATGTACACCTTCTAGAGATCACCATATGTACACCTCCTAGATATCACCATATGTATACCTCCTAGAGATCACCATATGTACACCTCCCAGAGATCACCATATTACACCTCAAACAGACCCCCGACTGTCGTACACCTCCTAGAGATCACCATATGTACACATCATAGAGATCACCATATGTACACCTTCTAGAGATCACCATATGTACACCTCCTAGATATCACCATATGTATACCTCCTAGAGATCACCATATGTACACCTCCCAGAGATCACCATATTACACCTCAAACAGACCCCCGACTGTCGTACACCTCCTAGAGATCACCATATGTACACATCATAGAGATCACCATATGTACACCTTCTAGAGATCACCATATGTACACCTCCTAGATATCACCATATGTATACCTCCTAGAGATCACCATATGTACACCTCCCAGAGATCACCATATTACACCTCAAACAGACCCCCGACTGTCGTACACCTCCTAGAGATCACCATATGTACACCTAGAGATCACAATATGTACACCTCCTAGAGATCACCATATGTACACCTCTTAGATATCACCATATGTACATCTTCTAGATATCACCATATGTGCATTTCCAACAGACCCCCGAATGTCGTACACCTCCAACATATCCCCGACTGTCATACACCTCCAACTGCCCCCCGACAATCGTACACCTCCAACATACCCCCGACTGTCATACACATCCAACAGACCCCGACAATCGTACACCTCCAACATACCCCCGACTGTCATACCCCTCCAACTGACCCCCGACAATCGTACACCTCCAACATACCCCCGACTGTCATACCCCTCCAACTGACCCCCGACAATCGTACACCTCCAACAGACTCCCGACTGTCGTACAACTACTTGATATCACCATATCTACCTCCTAGATATCACCATCTCCACACCTCCTAGAGATCCCCATATGTCCCCCTCCTAGAGATCACCATATGAACACCTCCTAGAGACCCCCAACTGTCATACACCTTCAACAGACCGCCGACAATCACACACCTCCAACAGACTCCCGACCGTCGTACACCTACTTGATATCCCCATATCTACCTCCTAGATATCTCCATATGTACACCTCCTAGAGACCCCCGACTGGCATACACCTTCAACAGACCGCCGACAATCGTACGCCTCCAACAGACTCCCGACTGTCGTACAACTACTTGATATCACCATATCTACCTCCTAGATATCACCATATTTACGCCTCCTAGAGATCACCATTTGTACATCTCCTAGAGATCACAATATGAACACCTCCTAGAGACCCCCGACTGTCATACACTTCCTAGAGATCAACATATGTACACATCATAGAGATCACCATATGTACATCTCCTAGAGATCACAATATGGACACCTCATAGAGATCATCATATGTACACCTCCTAGTGATCACCATATGTACACCTTCTAGATATCACCATATGTTCATTTCCAACAGACCCCCGACAATCGTACACCTCCAACAGACTCCCGACCGTCGTACACCTACTTGATATCACCATATCTACCTCCTAGATATCTCCATATGTACATCTTCTAGATATCACCATATGTTCATTTCCAACAGACCCCCGACAAGCGTACACCTCCAACAGACCCCGACTGTCGTACCCTACCGATAGCCCCCCGACTGTCGTACACCTCTAACAGACCCCCAATTGTCGGACACCTCTTAGAGACCCCCGACTGTCATACACTTCCTAGAGATCAACATATGTACACATCATAGAAATCACCATATGTACACCTCACAGAGATCACTATATGTACAACTCCTAGAGATCACCATATGGGCACTTCATATAGATGATCATATGTACACCTCCTAGATATTCCTAGAGATCACTATATGTGCACCTCCTAGAGATCACTATATGTACAGCTCCTAGAGATCACCATATGAACACCTCCTAGAGACCCCCAACTGTCATTCACCTTCAGCAGACCGCCGACAATCGTACGCCTCCAACAGACTCCCGACTGTCGTACAACTACTTGATATCACCATATCTACCTCCTAGATATCTCCATATGTACATCTTCTAGATATCACCATATGTGCATTTCCAACAGCCCCCCGAATGTCGTACACCTCCAACATACCCCCGACTGTCAAACACCTCCAACTGACCCCCGACAATCGTACACCTCCAACAGACCCCGACTGTCGTACACTACCGATAGACCCCCGACTGTCGTACACCTCCTATAGATCACCATATGTACACCTTCTAGATATCACCATATGTGCATTTCAAACAGACCCCCGACAATCGTACACCTCCAACATACCCCCGACTGTCAAACACCTCCAACTGACCCCCGACAATCGTACACCTCCAACATACCCCCGACTGTCAAACACCTCCAACTGACCCCCGACAATCGTACACCTCCAACATACCCCCGACTGTCATACACTTCCTAGAGATCAACATATGTACACATCATAGAGATCACCATATGTACCCCTCTTAGATATCACCATATGTACATCTTCTAGATATCACCATATGTGCATTTCCAACAGCCCCCCGAATGTCGTCCACCTCCAACATACCCCCGACTGTCATACCCCTCCAACTGACCCCCGACAATCGTACACCTCCAACAGACCCCGACTGTCGTACCCTACCGATAGCCCCCCGACTGTCGTACACCTCCTATAGATCACCATATGTACACTTCCTAGAGATCACCATATGAACACCTCCTAGAGACCCCCGACTGGCATACACCTTCAACAGACCGCCGACAATCGTACGCCTCCAACAGACTCCCGACCGTCGTACACCTACTTGATATCACCATATCTACCTCCTAGATATCACCACATGTACACCTCCTAGAGATCCCCATATTTACACCTTCTATAGATCACCATATGTACACCTCCTATATATCACCATACGTACACCTTC